AGTGGCAAAGGGCTGTCACCCAGGTCTCAGTGTGTGGGTGGGAGAAGAGAGGTCTAGGTGGAGGAGGGGAGCTCATGGCACCTGTACTGCCCTTTCACACTCTTCTCTTCCTTTTCAGAGGGTAAAAGTCAGAGTGAGTGCCTGACAAGCTCTCTGAGTTCATTTCGATCCAAAATTCAATTTCTCTCTTTTCTTCTTTTTTTGAGATGGGGTCTCACTATATAGTTCAGGTTGGCCTTGGACTCACCATGTTGCCTAGGTTAGCCTCAAACACACAGCAATCTCCCTGCCTCAGCATCCTGAGGGCTGAGATCATAGGTGTGTGCCACCGTACTCAGCATTAGTCTTGTATTTTTTTTAGCTTTCTGTGCATTTGCTCTGCCATACATTCTTTTGCTTATATGGTACGCATAGATTGGGCTGTGAAAGGTGCCATAACAGGAGAGATAGCTCAGCCCAGGGGCTGGGCAGGGGGAGCTGAGGACTACAGAGCACCACCTGTAGGGTTGTCACAGTACATGGATGCAGTGGTCCCTCTGTATCCACAGGGGTTCGTTTCCTATGATTTCCCAGTGGTACCGTCTGAAGACACAACTATATAAACGATGCTGTATTTGCCTGTAACCTTTGCAATCCTCCCATCTACTTAAATCATTTCTAGATCACTCATGATACCTAATACAGCATAGATGCTGTGAAAATAGTTGCTACACCTCATTGTTTAGGACAAAATGACAAGGAAAAAAGTATGTACATGGTGAGTACAGATGCAATCTTTTGTTGAGTCTTTTCTGTCCAAGATCGGTTGGATCCTCCCATGTAGAATGTGTGGGTTCAGAGGCACAAGTGTAGACCAGGTCATCAGAAACATCTGAAGGGTTCATGAAAACCCAGAGTGCTTGGCCTACCCTGGAGTTTCGGTAGATCTGGGAGGGCCGATATTGACCCATCCAAAAGGAGGGCCCAGGAGGTCTAGGGGTCACCTTTTGAGAATGTCTGTAGAGAACGGGGGATGTGGAAAGTTATACCTGGAGACCATCTCAATTTGCATATAAATCATAGGCATCATGGTCAATTCTTTCTGGATGGCATCAGATGAGACAGGTTTCCCCCATTGTAAAAACCACTTTATCTCATCAAAAATGACAGAGAATAACCCATGTACATTGAGCCATGGATGTTGCGTGGCTGGCTAGGATCCTGTTCACCGCATATCACCCTTTCAGAGCAAGAGTCAAACCCACGTTGCTGCCAAATGACAAGCACATCTTCTGGAGGCCTCCAGGGATGGCTGAGCATCACGGGACCTGGGTTGGAATGACTTTGTGGGAGGGTAGTGACATGAATGCCAGATCTTGCATCCAGGTCTGCCTTGCTATTAGCCTACATTTGGGATCTGGATTCTGCCCCCTGGAAGAGAGAGGAAGGGAGATCATAAAGCAGAGGAGCAGGAGGAAGAGGAGGAGGAGCAGGAGGAGGAGGAGGAGGAGATGAGGGGGATGATAGTATGGCTGTTTACCTGGGACTGAAAGGATAAATAGTTTCTGGCACTGAGGCAAAGGTGGGGTGAAAAACATTTTGTTTTGCTTTTGTGTTTTGAGATAGTCTTCTTGTGTAGTTCAGGTTGGCCTTGACCTCACTGTGTGGCCCAGCCTGGCCTCAGACTTGCAGTGATCCTCCTGCTTTATTTAGTCCCCTGAGTGCAGGTATTGCAGGTGTGTACCACCATGCCCAGCTAAACATTTTGGGGAGAGGGAACTGCAAGGTGCAGAGAAAAAGCAAGGCTTAGGGCTTGGTGACAGTTGCAGCAAGGGTACAAAAGCCTTGACTATTAGGTCGGGCAGTGAGGCTTCACTCTGAAACACTGGTGATAGAAGATGCTTGAATATTTTTTTTTTTTTGCCTTTATTTTCAGTGATGAATCAACCAACCCAGAGCCTTATACTACACCCCTGAGCTACATGTCCAGCCCCCATCACTTGATATTTTATGGAGTGGGAGGAGAACAACTCAAGAATTGCTGTTGTGTGGAACCGGGTGACAGGGGAAGTCTGGCAGGGCTGGGAGACCAGCTGAAAGTGAAAGGAATTGAGATGAAACACAGTCGTTGAGCTCTTCAGCAGTAGTGGCCACATTTTGAGGGCTGTGTTGCCATGTGTGACTGGTCACTACCATGGGGTGGTCACCTGGAGGACATTCTGGTTATTGCAGAGAGTCCTTTTGGACGTCGCTGCTACAAGGAATGCAAGTGGGATTCCCTACTTCAGTCAGAGAGGGGAGTGACCCAAGGAGGACCAGAGAGGAACACTTCCAAGGACAATGTGTGGGTGGAGCTGAGAGAAGGGAGGTGACAGAAAGAGAGAGAAGAAGGCCCTGACCACCTTTGCCCCCAGGAGCTGGATGTCTGCACACCGCTGCCTCTGCTTTCATACCAACTCGTTTGTGTGGGCTCTGTTGCTTGCAGTGATTGCTAAACAGAGGCCCCCATCTATCTATCTGTCTGTCTGTCTCCAGGATGGGCACCTATGTGGTGCTCAGTAAAGCTGACCAGTTGTCACATTAACGAGGGACCAGGATGATGGAAGGGCAGAGGAGGATGAGGCCAGGGGTCTCCTTTCATTCCTTCTCCTTCCCCCTCGAAGCAGATGGATGTCCTAGGGACTGGCGAAGGAAGAATGTACTGTCTTCTCTTACCCTTCTGGCAGCCAACACCCCTCCTCCTACCTCTTTCCCTACTGGTGACATTTTGCGTGGAGGGCACTGTTTCTGATCGTCCCTTGCATCACACACCCGCACATCAATTCAGGTGGCAGCTTAGAGCCAATTAAAATTTATAAGCCACAGGTAGTGAGTGAAATGCGGAGGATTAATTTTCTCTGTGGCGTTTTCATCTGTGTAATGTCACAGGCGCTCCTCCAGTACCCGTAGGATGGAGAGGAGGAGGCACCTCCCCCGCCAGCGTTGGGATGTAAATGCTCTAATTGGTCCCACTGGGCTGGAGTGGGTGTGGCTCCACCTCCTCCCGGCCTGGCAATGAGCAGAGTCAGCAATCTGGGCGCAGGCCATGCTCCCACACAGCCCTGCCATCCTCTCCCGACTGGTGAGGAGCTGCCCGGTCTCTGGCCAGGCCCCCTTGTTCTCTGAGCGATCCCCAGGGAGCCAGGCATGAAAAGGCTCCTCTTGGGCAGGACCACCCTCCCCGGAATAGCTTCCTGGAGCTTAAGGATAGAATCTTTGCCAATTAGGTGGGCAGCAAAGATGCATTCAAGTTAATCCGGCAGCAGTGCCCACCTGTGCCAGAGAGCCCACAGAGCAGGGAGGATTTACCAGGGAGGAGCTGTAACCCAGGCAGGTTTCTGAAGCTTTCTTATAACCTAGAATGAATGTCAACATTTCTCCGTCTCGGGGCCCTGCGACGTGTAGGAAGAGTTCAGTGTTACAGCCAAGCCCTCACAAACGATGCCTTTATGATTATTGCTAACAGTAATGATAAAATATCCTCCTGGCTCCAAGTTCTAGTCTTCATGCTTTCCTTGGCTTCTGTGAGCCTCATCCACCAACACCAAATTCCTATCTTGCCTCCTGCCTGGGGTTTGTGACAGTGAGGAGGGATGGTGGGTAGGTGTTATGATTTACATTCATATGGCCCCTCTAAGCCTCATGCAGTCATGGATGGGGCTGAATCTAGTGTTCGTGATTGGCTTATTGTCTAGTGCTAGGACTGATGGTGTGTGTTGCACCCACCTAGGCACAGAGCCAATGTACATTGTAATGGCAGGAAGAAGGTATGTCTTTCTCTTTTTTGCTGTTTGGGGTTGCTGTCTGCAGCTGTCATAAACCGCTGCCCCTCAGCCATGTCATTTTGCCTTGGAGCCAACTGAGTATGGACTGAAACCTCCAACCTGTAAGAAATAAACCTTCCCTTCCCTAACTTTGGGTGTCAGGTATTTTGTCTCAATAATGACAGAGAAAAGTAACTAAGACAGTAGGTCACCATGAAAAGGATGTGCTCAGTGTTGGTCAGGGATTATCATCACCACAAAGCACAACTGAGGGCCCAACCCTGCAGAGATAGTGGCTTAATCCATTTTCTGGGGCTGTAACAGAATACCTGAGCCTGGATAGTTAACAAAGAAAAGTGGGTTATTGTGGCTTGTGGCTCCAGAGACTTGCACAGGTATCAGCTTGCCTCTGGCAAGAGCCACATTCAGTTCTACAGGTGGCAGAAAGGTGGGGACACGTGGAAGAGAAGAAGGGGACAAAGGAGTAGCCCACTTTACAGTGTCCTGCTCTAGGGGAAAGCAACTCATCCTTTCAGGAGGGTGGAACCCCATCAGCCCTACCACCCCTTTTTTGTTTGAGATGTGTCTTGCTATATAGTTGAGGCTGGCCTGGAAGTTGCTATGTAGCCTAGGCTGACCTTTAACTCATGGGAATCCTCCTGTTTCAGTGTCCAGAGTGATGGGATTACAGTCATGCACACCTGGCTCCCAACCACCTGTTAAGGCCACACCACTTCTCAGCTCTGTCCTTCTGGTGATATGAATGTGAAAGGAGATGACCCTTATTAAAACCACGCAGATGGCTCCCTGCTCTAATGACCTGGGGGAAGAAGTTCAGGACAAAAGCTCCTTTTACTTTTAGAGGACCCTGAGACATCGGAGTGAGCCTTAGTCCAGGTTCACTGTTGCCAGCAGCAGACATTGACTCTGGCTGATTTAAATGGTAAAGGAATATGTTGAAGGAAAACAGGATGGTTCAGGGCATCAACAGGGAGGCGGTGGCCAGGTGGCAGGACCACAGGCTGAGCCACACAGGGCCATGTCACCACTGTGCTCACTGAGTGTGTGCCTGGGACCCTGCTTGGGTGCCCCGAGGAGCTCCTGGTATAGGTCCTCTCCTGCCTCTTCCTCTCCAAGTGTTTTAGTTACTTCCCTCATTGCTGGGTCAAAATGCCAAAAATGAAGGCTGCAGAGGTTGATTTTTGTCTCATGTTTCAGTCCATAGTCGGCTGGCTATGGCAGAGGAGCCTGTCAGAGGAGAGCTGCTCATGGCATGGGGACAGGAAGCAGAGAGAGACGGGCGGAGCTGGAGAGCAAGAGAAACCCTTCCAAGCCCTGCTCACCCTGACCAGACTCTACTCCCAAAAGCAAGCCAGCTGTACTACCTCATAATCCAATCACCCCCAAACCCACCTATGATCCACTGGAGAAAGACTGTCTTCTGAGAACTCACAAGGTAGGATCATTCATGGCATCGAGACTTGGATGTGGGTATGCCTGCTAGTGGGGAGAGTGTTACCCACTTCGTGCACTTGCAGCAGCTAAGCCAGGATCTTGGCTCAGCTGCTGCACAGGATCAGAGCCAGCTCCCAGTCATGTGCAATGTGAATAATTTGGGGACGGGCTACTGATTTCTGAGGTAGGGAGAGGCTGTGTGGTCCAGAGAGCTTTTCTTCCTTGCCCAGGTTGAAAGAGCTCAGGGTCAAAGATTCTAGATATAGATTTGTTAGAGCAGATGATTCTCAGAAACTTCCTCCCTACTTCCTTGGAGGGAGGAGGAAGATGCTTTTGGCATGCTGGGCAGCAATCTCTCACAGCCTGGTCCCATTTCCCTCTTGTCATTACCAAGTGCCAATCAGGTCAGAAAAATGACTCAAATGAACATTCTCTGCTTCTTGAAATCCCCTATTCCTATTCCTTTAGGCCCAGTTCGAATGGACTCTTTTCCCAGTGCAAAGTTCCTAGTATGGTCCCATGGGCTGGAGCTCTTTGTTGTGGCATAGCTAGAACCCCAGGCAGAGAAAGAGTGAGTGAGAGACAGAGAGAGAGATAGAGAGAGAGAGGAGGAGAGGAGAAGGGAGGAGAGGAGAGGACAGGAGAGGGGAGAAGGGAGAGGGGAGAAGGGAGAGAGAAAGAGATTGAGAGATTTCTACTCCTGTAGAGCAGGGTCTCAGTTTGCATTCTCTAATATTGCTCACCCCTGGCAAATGATAGGAGTGCAGCAACATTTTAGGATGTCTCAAAGGTGTCCCATCTCATTTCTTTGTGATAGAGGTGCTGTATGGGAGGCTCCTCCTATGGCTAGAACATGGGGTAAAGGGCATGGAGAGGCCAGAGATGAGGCAGGGTTCAGAGCAAGGCTGGGGAAAGGAGGCTTTGTCCTGGAGCTGTGGGAGGAGGCCTGGGAGAGGCTGAACCACCGTGTCATACACTGATTCTGTGGCAGTGGTAAGGTGGAAGGCCATGGCTGCGGGTAGAGGCTGGGTGGGGAAGGACTGCCAGGGGACTCACTGTTCTAGTGACACGGTATCTGGATTGGATCACGTAAACTAGTGGTCAAGGAGAGGAAAGAGGAGGAGGAGGCAGGAAGAAGGGGCCAGTGGCCTCCCATGGTAACGCACAATCTCAAGAGAGGGGTCAGAAGAAGCCTGAAGACCTGAGAGGTGCACCCTTTATAAAGAGGGAGGGAGTGGGCACTCTACAGCAACGGAGGACTTTGACCTGGAGGGCAGGGAGACGGGGCTGGACAGCAGCCTGGCAGCCTGGGGTGATGGTTTTCCAGATGGGGGTGATGCTGTACTGTGCAGGGAGACAGGTTGCCGTGGGCTGCAGGATAGGGTGGTCCAGTATAGGCCACAACTGCAGCCATTCAGCAGCTTGCAAGACACAAATAGCCGGAAGTGTGCACAGCGTCCCTTGGCATTGTTAATTAGCCCTGAGACACTGTTCCTTTCGAGGGGTGACCCCATCACACCTGAGCTGCTGCAGACCTACCTGCTCGGGAGGCCGGCGGGGTCAGCCTGTCCACGGTCACCTGTCCCCCTGTTCTTCTTCAGCAGTGCCCCAAATAATCATCCAGTTCCCATCCCCGGGCCCCTCCTTTCCAAGGCGATGGCACTCAGATCTTATTAGTTAAGAGGGAGACTGATTTGCGTAATGGAAAGTCACGGAGAGAGAATGTGGTGTAAATGTTAATCGTTTTTTTAACTTCGCATTATGTGATCCGTTAACATTAATATTTAATTTAATGCAGTCAAAAGATTAATGCCTATGTTTATTTCTAAAAAAGGCAAGGATGCTTCAGGCTGCTTTTTCAGCTTGCTTGAGCTTTGGGGGAAAAAAAATAAAATAAAACAAAAACCCACCCAGCACAGAAGAAATGTATTCATGCCACAATAATACAAATATCCTCTCCCCACCCGCTCTCCCTCCTCAGCTCCTAAAAATAAGCCACAGGGTTCTAATGGGGACACTGATTAAATATTCGGCTCTGTAATTTATGCCCAAGTAAATCCCAACAGGAACCAGAGGCCCTGGAAATCTGTTGTGAAATAATTATCCTGAATGACATTGTGGCGATGGGCTGTGAGGGTGCTGTCAATAATGCATTAGCCCAAATCTGTTTGAAATACGGCAAGGAAATTACACGATCTTCATGGGAACCTGAAAGAATTATCAGTAAACAAATTTAATCAACTTGATGTTATGCATACCACTCAACCTCTTATTATCTGATCATCTGGGTTTAGAACACGCCGGGGAATTGAATGATGCGGGCTGCGGGGCTGCGGCTGCATGTGTGAGCGTCTGTGTGTGTGTGTGAGCGTGTGTGTGTGTGTGTGTGTGTGTGTGTGTGTGTGTGTGTACTTGATGGAATCAGCCGCAGGTCTCTGCATTTCCTCTCCTAAGCTGCATAGTATTTGCATTTTTCTCTTCGCCTGATCGCTGACTGCCAGCTCTCATACCGCTCTGGTCCTTGCATTCCTCTTCCCTTTCCAGGGTCCAAGGGCTCCATCTGCCTTTTACTTCCCTTTTGCCTTCTAATGAAGGGTGGTCATCCCTACTTGGGCCACCTGGGGAGATTATGGCAGAAAAGAAACAGTCTTGCTGGGTATAGTGGTACATACCCATAATCCCAGCACTTGGAGAGCTGAGGCAGGAGATTTGCTGTGAGGCCAGCCTGCGCAGCAAAGTGAGACCCTATCTCAGAAAGCTTAAAACCTGCACCGAACAAACCAAACCAAAATCCAAGCAAACAAACAACACTAAGCCAAACCAAACCTAACCAAACCAAAACAAGAAAGGCCTTATTACCCTGGGTTCTGGGTGAGGATCTGACACTAATTTATGGGGTGCTCTCACTTGCATCCCTTTCCATCTCTGCGCCTTAGTTTTGCCACTTAATAAAATGGGTCTTGGGCTTGCTGGTCCTTGTGATTTCATGACATTTTCCTGGGAGTGTGGCAGCTTATCATTTGCTTGGCTTGTGCTGCTTGTCTATTGGGGACTGCAGGGGGAAGGGGTGTCTCACACCCACACAGAAAGTTGGAGGCAGTCTCCACAAGAGAGCTTTCAGAGCTACTTCTTATAACCCCTCTGCAGCCCAAGACAGAGAGTCATTTTCTGTCTGCATGAAAAGCCAGGAGAAGCATTTCTGAACCCCCTGGGGCTGGGGTCAGGGAATGTGGTTGGCCTTCCCAAGTCTGCAAATCCTTTCTCACCCTCAGGCCTGGGTTTCCCTAACAGGGGGAGGCGGCTTCCTTTCCTAGCTTTGCATTCTGCATTGCTGTCTAAAGTCCCTCAACTGCCTTTAACTTTGTGCTTTGAGGAAGGCAGTCTACTGTCCACTTCCAGGCTGTCAGCCTTCCTTTTACTTCCTGTGAAGGGGGAGTGTGTTCTTGGGTACCTGTGTCTGTTCCTGTCCTTAGCATTGGGCAGGATAACAGTGACACTTCCTGGAGACCAACTACACACTATGCATAGAGCTGACTTTCCCATAGGGCACCAGGAATTAAAGACAGGGCCTTGATGAGAGAGGTGCCCCTGTTATAAAGAGCCAGGAGCAAAGGGTTACTGACACCTGTCCAGGGTACTGAATAGGTTCTTCTGTCTCCAGCCATCACTGCAGGCTGGACCTGCATCCCACATAGTCCCAGCCTAACAAATGAAAGCCTAGATCTGATGTTGTTCAATATGGAAGTCAATAACCCATGGTGGTGTTTGAGAACTCGAAATATGTTTCTGTTGGATGGCGCTAATTTAGGTATTAAAACCATTTATATTATAAGTGGAGGGAGTCCTAGGAGGTAATGTGGGGTCTCTCTACTCCCACTTCTCATGCAAGAGCTCCAAGGCAAGTTTCTCCTCCACCCCATGTGATGGTTTCTAAAAGAGAACCCAGTCATGAAAATGGAGGAAGAGATCTTGGAGGGAGGAAGAGATCTTAGAGAAAGGAAGATTGGCACCTTATTTCATTTTGCAGGCAGGGAAATTGTTACTGCCCTTTATTTGCGTACTGGACAGGGTATAAGATAACTGGAGTGGTAAAGGTAGAATTATGGTCTCTTAAAGATGTCTGGGTACCCACTCTGGCAACCTGTGGATATGCCGCCTTATATGGTGAAAGGGGCTTTGCAGACCTCATTAAATTAATGACTTAAAATGTGGGATCATCCTGGATCATCCAATTGGGCCTAATCTAATCACAACTCCTTGGGAACTGAGAACTTTTCTTGACTGTTGTCATAGATGGGGTGATGGGGTGAAGAAGAGGCAGGAGACGTCAGAGGTGTTAAAGAACTTGCCTTGCCATGGTAGACTTTGAAGATGGAAGAAGGGGGCCACCATCCAAGGAATGTAGGCGCCCCTGGCAGCTGAGAACACCACCAAACCAGATCCTGTTCTGCAGGAAACATGGCACACAACCCCTTCTGGCTTCTCTTGCTGGCAAGAGAACACGTTCAGGTGGTTTTCAGCTGCTAAGTTGGTGGTAGTTTGTCACAGAAGAAACAGGAAACAAATAGAGATGGTGGGCTGGAGAGAGGGTGCTGAAGCCTTGTGTGGATTGCTCACGAGTTGAGTGTATATTTTGAAATGCAGCCACATGCACTTGAGCTCTTCTGCTGAGGCTCAGCCAAGCAACTGGCTGCAGGGGAGGCTTTGGGGCAGTCCCCAAGGGTGGCTGTGAGAGGGTCAGAGGGGGTCATGTGAGCAGCTCTTGGGCATGTGCAGTGGAGCTCTCTTCCTGAGGATTCTCCTGAAGAGCTCATGCATATGTTCCGAGATGCGTTTGGGACTTACTACATAGAGACAGTTAACAAAGATGGTAAAGAGACTACCACACTAGAGCCATGCAGTACTAGTTAGATAGGCTGGGTTTTACTAAGTAACAAATAGCCCCAAATCATAAGGTCTTAAGACAATGAAGATATTTCACTATTTGTTACAGCTTGTGTC